ACCCTAGAATTTCTCTATGTATCTCTTAGCACCCTGTATTATAATTACTTCCTTAGGTTATTGAGAGGAGAGATTATCTTGTGCATGTTCTATCCTACCATCCAGCACAGAGTGGGTATTCAATAATTGCTTATTGCATAAAGGAATGAGGTCTATAAATAAGTCTAAATTCTTCCTAGGCACTTTCAGAGTCATTTTCTGAAGTTCTCCTGCAATGAGAAATGCACTGTCTATGAACTCTACCTACCTGTCTAGAAATAACATTAAATGGTTTATGGGTTTTCGTTCTTGGTAATAAAGATAATGTGAATAAAGGAAATGCACAGGTACAAAGCCCTTAATTTAACTTACATTTTATTTTCTTCAAAACAAATAATGATAAATGATTATTAGGTTTAGACTAATTTTACTTTCCTCTCTTTATATCCTTAGGGAAGAGAAATGAACTGAAATCAAGAAACAGAAGGGCCAAGGAAAGAAGTCCATTTGAATGTATCAGCATGCAGGTATATTAATTATTCCCTGAATAAGCAACAACTAAACCATTCTGCATTGCTTGGCTACTGAATATGATCAAACCTATATTTATCGTTTAGAACTGAAGTTCAAAGTCTTATACAAGCTTTGTTTGCTTATGACTATTCCATCACCACTTATAGAAAGCATATTTTTTCAAAAGTGTGAAGAATCCACGAGTTTTCTGATCTTTGTGACTCCTCTTAAAGAAAGAAATAACAACCAGACCCAGGACTCCTCCTCTTTGGATGGGATCACGTTAAATGTCGTTCATGGGCCAGAGGAGACAACCTAGGAAACCACCACCCAACAGTTTCCTTTGGGTGTTCACAACTGAACAACAGAGAATTCCCAAATCCTTCCACTACAAAGAAGAGAAAAGAGTTGTAAATCAACAGAAGGGGAGAGAAACAAAAGGCATTTCCTCTACGTTTAACAGAGAGAACTTAAGAGTTATCAAGAGAAGGAACACGCCTTTCTACTTAGCTCCATAATTTTCATTCTAACGTTATTAAAAAGAAGTCATCATTGGTACATGGAAGGATAAATCTGTACTTTAAAGTCCCCTTTTTTCTGTTGTTGGTCACAAAAGGCAACAAAGGAATAACTAATAAATAGAATATCTTATTTGAAACGTTGGAAAAAGGATGCCAGTTCCTGGAAAATACCTTGCCCATTAGTAAAGAAATTGGTCCACAGGGAATAAAAATGGAATGGCGAGCTCTCCAGTGCTGCCCTGTGGGGAGAAATACAAAGGGTCTCCACATGTGGACTTCATAAAAACTTTGATATATAAGAAATCTGTTATCCAAAGTGCACGGTAGGCCCAGAAATTGTTCTGTTTAATCTTTGCACAGAGGATTTAGGGCCTGCCAAGTGCAAGAGGCATGATTTTTGCACTGGCCGTTTTAGTATTCATGTCTCCTGTGCTGCTTTCTAATAAGTTAAGATGAAACGGGAGACTGCGTGCAGGAGTGAGAGATGCAAGAAAAGCAGTGCTGAGAAATAAAGATGAACAACAGTGCCTCTCTACTTCCCTTTTATTATTAACAGGCGAGAGAACAACAATGCCAAACTTATAATGTCATTACTTAACACTTCACATTCACAAAAAGACGTTGCATCATTTGTACATGTTATTTCTCCATACTTTTCTGATAGAAGCTTTTTTTTATAATCAGTTTTTATGATGATATATGAAATGATTTTTTCCAAAAAGGAAGATAAACATGCAGTCTGTGCCAGCATGTTACCAAAACAATCTTTTTGGTGAGAATAATTGTTTCCTTTACTGTTTGGGAAAGGAACAACTGATTGGCCTGCTATTTAAATGTTGTTTTCCTTGTGTTACATAGACCCACTTTTTCACTCCTATTCCCCTCCACCCCATTCAACTCACTATTACTTAAGTGTACCCCTTACACCATATTTCCGAAATATAAATAACATAACACGATGAGATCTAAAGAAAACTAGCCTTCCTCTTAATTCTTCTGTGATATAAGGTGTGTAAATGGAGTGGCGGCTCCCATGAGTGAGTATATGTGCACCTGCCTGTGGGCTGGGCTCTTTCTAAGAGGAGCATGTCTGTGTGGCACACTGAGAAATGTTTGCTCAACGTAAGTGGGCAAAGTATGCTGAGATTCAGAAACTCCAGCCACCCTCATGTTTTAGGTATCTGCTAGTTAATTTGTTAGTTTGCATGGAGAAAGTCATTCAATAAATAAGTAGACCCCAAACCAGGGGACTGTCTCCTACCTTTAACTGTCATCTTCAATTCCCTGACAAATTAGTTTAGTATTTCTTCTGGGGCAAAAGAATGGCAGTGGAAAGTTCTCCAAACCCTTAGGTTTTATTAAATTTGGGAAGAATCTGGGATTCTGATGAGAAAGATTTCTTCATTTATTATTATATGGCCCAGAGCATAGGAATCTGTCAGTTACCTTTTTCGGTTTTGCAGAATAAGATATCTTAATAAAACAAAAAGCAGAAATTATCTAGGTAAACTGTCTACATTTCTTCAACAAATGTAAAAAATATGCCTTCACTTGGGGCCACATAGTCATAGCCTAGCAGGTAATAAACTATATATTTTTAAATACAAGTCCTAGTGAAATGAACATTGTTAAGTAGAGTAAACATTTATTTCAAAGCCATAAGTATGTCTGAGTATAGAAAAAGAGTTCAAGATCTTTAAATATGTTCCCATTATTAGAACTTTACACACACACACACAATTTATTTCCTTCAATTTCAAATCTAATAAATAGAGTCAACAGATACCTTTTTCTCTTTACTTCTTAATCCATACATTATTAAATCTAACATATGAAAACTATGGAGAATATGCTCCCTACTCCAGGGCAGTGGGTTGAAGTGGTATGTCTGTTGCTGTGTTACTTGTCTGCATGGAGAGCTTGCATTGATTCACTGATGCCTCTAGGAATAAAGGTCAGTCCTTATGCTAATGTTGATAGTGATGTTACAATGATAGCAGTAGTACCTGCAATTTTTTGAGTGCATTCTATGTGCTAGATGATTTATAAGCACCATTTTTATTTTAAAAATACTACAGTGACTTGCACAAAATGAAGAAACTGTGACTCCCAATATTTATATGATTTTCTCAAGGTCCTAGATCTGGGTTTGCAACCATGTCTGTCTGATTCGAAGTTCATGTTTTCTTCCTACATCCCTCCAAGCGGAGAGTTAATTCAGGCAATGTGAAAACTTGAAGTAAGGTGACCATATGTTCCAGTCTATACCTGTTATCCTAGCGTAATTAATAGATTCCCCTTTCATGCTCGAAAATGCCCCAGTATGGACAATGTTTAACAATCAACCTATCTTTGAGCAAGGTTTAAAATCCACATGAGACTTTTCTAAGGTATTGTTCACAATGCTTTAATTAATCTTGTTGTCTTTACTGAAGGATGTCAAGCAAGTAACAAATTGGACCTAGCTTGGTGTATTTGGGAAAACAAATGGATTTATGAATGAATATCATTTACTGGTTGGGTGTATTATCGCTCTGTCATCTCTCTCTGAGAATCTTTTGTCCTTCCTCTTTTCTCTCTCCTCCTCCTAGTCTCCATGTTTCTTTCTATGCAGGCTTTCGCTATTGGTCAAGTATTAAAAAATAAATTCCTTGGTTTTGCTTTAGCTTTTGTTTCTGATGAACGTTTAAAATTCAGCTTGGCCACTCATTCAGATGTTTAAACCACTAGTAATGGTAGTTTTGTCCAAAAGAGAAGTAAAAATCATTTTAAGACATCACTAACTTATTTTTCTTTCTTTCCTCTCCTTAATCTCGCTGCTACTATTCCACTACTTCTTTACTACAGCCGTAGCGCATTGGTGTCCAGGGAGCTTTCTTGTTGCAGTTCCTGGACAATGCTACTGCAGGTTTCGCTGGGGGACGCCAGCTCCAAAATGTATTATTTCAAGCACCACCACACATGTCTCTGTTCCTCTTCTGCTTTTATGGGTAAACTGCTGTCCAGTTTCTATTATTTTAAAGGGCTTTCAGGAAGAGGAAAGGAAACGATTTTTGAAAAATAAACATGATAAAATATATAACTGTTTAAGACACATGCAATAAGAAAATCTAACATTCGCTTTTGTTGGTTTCAAATGTATGGCTTTGATTTATGGATTAAAATTGCTCATTTATTATTTTATCTATACAGCTCTAGGCAATTTTGACAGTTAAAATTTAGTTTTATTGACCAGTGCAGCCACTGTGCCCACGAGGGGACTGGTGCACACAGCCTGCTGCACTCAAGAAACGATGATTTTTGATTCCATGAGTGAGTCCGATTGGGAATCATAACCAATATAACAATAAGTTCCAAATCTCAGTGCCCAAGGCAAGAGGTTTGCTGTAAAACACAATTGCCCTTTAAGAAGGGGAGGAGAAGAATCCCGGGTAGAAGTTTGCAAGCACAATTTCCTGCAGCTGGAATAGGCCACAAATATATCTCTCCATTCAAACTATGCAGCAGTATAAGGGACGTTTCTCTAAACACCCAGTTCCACAGACTAAATATTAATGAGCAAACATGCCTGAAAAGCAAAATGAATGTTAGTTACAGAGACAATGAACTAAACAACCATTTTGATGTGAGAAAATTTACTAGTGAGTGCCACAAACCAACCTTTTGCTTTTCAATGAAAAACAACAAAAAGAGCAGAAGAATTTTGGGGGGAAGATCTTTGCTCCTCCCCCACACCCTCCATGGCAGCACATACAGAAACGTAAACCAGTACAGTGATTTTAGGCTAGGCCTACTCGACTACCAAGTTGGCCACCTCTGCAATGTTAATTTAGTCTTTTACTCTAAATCCCCCGTGATACATAAACAAACCTCCAAAGGGGAACAAATCAATAAAATGTCTAATTTGATTAACCATGTTTTCAAATTCATCAAGACAGCTCTAACCTGAAATAAATAGGTGAGTGAATAAATAAATAACGCACTCACTTGTGAGTATTTTCCACGTCTTCTTTTCATCGTCGTAATACTGAACCAAATTGCTGGGGAGCCGGTCCGGTCCAGGAGGCAGCCCTCCAACCAATAACAGCATTTTCTTGTTAGAGCGAATTCTTCACCCAAAACAAAAGAGGAGATGAATAACCACATTATTGTAGAGTCTTTTTAGTGGCAACAAAATCATAACCATCAAAGACTGTTCCTTGCTTGCAGATATCTATTTCATTTTTTCCTGTTTCTTCCCCCATTCATGTCTCAACAATTTTTTTGAACCAAGCAGAAAAATGATCAGAAGAGCTGCACATCCCCATACTCATAGAATAATAAGCTCCCTTTATGCAATTTGTTAGAGGTTCATTCTAGAACGACCTTTTTCTTATATTATCCCTTTAAATCATCACTCTTTACAGCTGAGTACACATGAAATGCTCTGGAGTTGTACTAAGGTTAAGCATTAAAGTTGCATGTCAAAAATCGTATTAGTCAAAATCATTATTATAAGCCATTCTCCACTCAAAGAACCTTGAAAAAATTAAGGTTATGCGGGGAGTTTGTGAGCCAACTCTTTAATCACCCAGGGAACTTCAAATACCAGTTTGGTACAATTAGTAGCACAGGGCTAACTGGGGTGGGTTAACCAGTTTGAACATGAATTTTTTTGTTTGTTTAATTTAGCTTAGACTTCTGCCTTCTTCCCCTTCCCCCACTCCCAGCTCACCCTCCCCTCTGCTCTCCCCCTGTGCACCACTGGCGATATAGCAGCACCAATTGGTAAAAATGAGACTGTGATGTTGTTGTGAGCCTCCCCAGAGTGGAGCCCTGCCAATGCTTGCCACTGATCCAGCGGCATGAACCTGCTCAACTGTGCAAAGTCACTCTAATTCCCTCCCTCTGTTTTTCTACCTTCTCCCCCAGGGGGCAACCACTGAAAGGAGTGACTACCCACCCATCAAGAGCTGGCAATTCGCTGCTATTAACCGTGACTGTGATTCCCAGTCCGCCTGGCAGTTCCTGAGAAAGGCCTGCAATGTCTCATATGCAGTAAAAGCTGTAAGATGCACCCTGGCCGGCACACTCGACCTGATGGATGTACAATCCTCAGGAACAGTAATGGATTGAGCACACTTGTGCTTGAAGCAGGGAGAGGAGGCCCAGACCCCTACAAAGGGCCTGCTGATTTAACAGTCGCTTTACATATAATTGAACTTTTCATGTACCTGAAAGGCTCAAGGTGGTGGTGGAAGAAACGGAACAACAATGATTGAAGGAAAAAAGTCAATAAATACAAAAGGGTTCCTCTTAGTGATGATCACAAGCCATGGCATGGCTCTGAGTCTATGATTACATATTCAGCTCGTTCTGATTCAAGAATGCTTGGCGAAGTATGCCCTTGTGGAGAAGCATTGTTTGTTGGTTAAGAACCTAACATTCGGAGAGTTAACTTAACACAGTTAATGACATCTCCCTGTGAAGGAAAGGGACAAGAGAATTCCTTTGATGAAACTCTGGTGCCATTGAATGCATTATTATGCCTCAGTGGGAAAAATACCTTCTGGAGAATTGCCCATATTAGACACTCATCGATAGAGGGAGCTGTACTTACAGAGGAACGAGTAATATGATGGCAACTTGCAGTGTTAATTCTGCCACTCTGTGGATATAGTTGAGCCAAAAGGTAAACAAACCCAAACTCTGAATTTGAAGTACCTTCGAACTGTACCCATATGCCTTATAGACTAGTAGTTGGCAAATAGAATACAACAGCAAAGAGCCCCCATAGTTGGAGGATTTCCGTGATTGGGGTGTTTTTGCAAGAGGGGTTAAGAAAAATCAGTGCAGTCAGTACGTCTCCTTCATTTAGAAAACATACATGCATAATTCACATGCTATAGAATCTCCTAAATACATGGCCACAGAGCTGATATATGAATATTTTTTTCTTATTGTGGTCTTTAGTCCAAATAATCAACCACTCTGTGTGTGTAAGAGAAGTCAAGATGAAAACAAATACTCTTTTTAGGTTGCTGCAAATGACCATGTGTAGACAGACCTGTTCAACTGGAAGTCATGATTCTGTGGCTGTCCTAACATCACTTGTCCACATGCCACCAGACTGCAGTTGGGGGTAGATCAATATCAACAGGATGGACACAGAGGAAAGACCTCACTGAAGTGGTGGTTGTGCAAAAGCAACATAATTAAATATGTTTTAGTATATAAATAAATTAAGTGCTTAAAACATGTGCTTAATGGGGCCCAGCGTGGTGGCTCATGTCTGTAATCCCAGCACTTTGGGAGGCCAAAGCAGGCAGATCACCTGAGGCCAGGAGTTTGAGACCAGCCTGACCAACATAGTGAAACCTCATCTCTACTAAAAATACAAAAAATTAGCCAAGTGTGGTGGTGGGCGCCTGTAATCCCAGCTACTTCGGAGGCTGAGACAAGAGAATCTCTTGAACCCAGAAGGCAGAGGTTGCAGTGGGCTGAGATTGTGTCATTGCTCTCCAGACTGGACAAAAAGAGCAAAACTCCATGTCAAAAAAAAAAAAAAAAATTAGCTGGGTGTGGTGGCACATGCTTGTAATCCCAGCTATTTGGGAGGCTGAGGCAGGAGAATCGCTTCAACTGAGGAGGCAGAGGTTGCAGTGAGCCGAGATCATGCCACTGCACTCCAAACTGGGCAACAAGAACAAAACTCCATCTCAAAAAAAAAAAAATGTGTTTAATGGATGGCAAAGGGAGATGAATGCATGACTCACACATGTTTGTAAGGTCATTTCATTCATTGATAAGAGGAACTTCCCTGGACAAGTTACACTGGTGATTCTCCACCCTGATTTAGATGGACCATCTCTGCTGATAAGGAGAGGATCTACTGTCTTTGTTCTCTCTGCCCAGATTGCCAGCCATTGCCATCTGTCCTCTAAGAACTGGACTGACTACAAATACAAAAGCCAGTGAACGGTGGGCAAATGGTAACACCCTCCACCCCGCCAACAGTGACATGATTCAAGGGCTAGCTAGCGTAGCAGCAAATAAAGATTCCACATAACTAAGGTAAATTTCTAAGCTACTCAGGCCTCTGCAGACACTGTAATAAAGAATTACGTGGAGGAAAAGGAAATCCTACTTACCCTCAATGGCTGTGTGTTTTCTACAAAGGGGCAGTGCTTTGAAGCCATTATGTATGGCTTTCTTAGTGAATCAAGATGCCTTCCAAATCTTTTGCATTGTTATATTTACATCATCATTCATTCAATTTGTCATGACATTTTACTTAGAGTATTTTTTCTCTAAATCTTGTGTTACTCAATTTTCCAAGCCAGTCTCAATATTATTTAATTCTAAATAAAACTTGAAGCTCTACTTTGTGAAGATGAATCAAATCGAAACCCAAAATAAGACAAAACATGTAAGAAGTTGGATCATAAAGAGGAAAGAACACATCAAGTAACAAAACACATTTGAGTGGTTTTCTCACTATTTTCTCCATTGACTCTCAAAACAGCTCAACGTGGTAGATATAACTCTCCATTTTACAGAGAGGAGAGAAAGTTCCCATAGCTGTTATAAGAAAGTACACATTTGGACATTACAGAAAACTATGAAGATTTCTGAATCCAAATGAAGAAATCTAATGGAGATTACTTTACATTTCTTATTGCTTAAGAATAATACAAATGAGAATAACCATCACATATTTTACTTTGATATAAATGCAATGTCAACTATTCAATTACTCCTAGAAAGCAATACACGTGAATAATTCCTGTGGAAAAGCTTCCATTCTTTTTACAATGTGCAATTATAATAGTGACAATGACAATAACGACAGTTAATAATGAATGCGTATTGAATACTGAACTTCTGATTATCATACTATTTATTTGATGTGTGTGAACTTCAATTTGAAAACACCATAAAAAAAGATACCTGTGAACTAGAAAAGTAAAATGAAGAGAAGCTGAACTAACTGTGCTGAAGGGGGTTTTAATTATTCTTTTTTAAATAATTCCAGCAGAGCTTTACAGGTTTAATTTTAGATTAGTCAAAATTTATAAATGTAGCCTCATTGCAATCACTAGAGTTTCTTCTCATGGCAACATATTATACTTTTTAGAAGCTCTATACATAGGGAACCAATTTAGCCAAAATTAATATGTTCTCTTCATACCTTTTATTATTTTAAAATACTCCTTTCACTCTTCATTTTACCCATTTTGCCCAACGCAGACCAAAGTATGTATTGAAAGACAAGGAATAATAGAAATGTAAACAAAACGTTGAGTATATCGTGGTTGATAATATTTGAATGTCTTTGATTTGAGTTCCTTGATTCTTGCATAGAAAAATGTAAGGTTGCAAAGGCGATGGAATCTGAAGGTCTCCTTTGTTCCATTCCAGTAACTGCCCAACATTTACCATGTGTCACATTTGGGCGTGTGTGTGCGTCTGTATGCGTGAGTGCTGGCGTGCATACCACGCATTCCCGGGATGAATGATTGAAGGATGACCTACACCTCCTGGTGTAAACAAATTTTTCATCATACTGGTGTTCTAAGTACTGTAAAATCTCATTTATTTATATTTCAGTGATTTGGAACTTCAATAATTGGGAAACAGGCCAGATAAAGTTTTCCTTTCCATGATACATGAGAAAAGTTTTCATGAACTAGATTGCAAAAAAAACGTTTAACCTATTTAAGAAATCAGCTGATATGCTGGCACTTTATAATCACCAATGCACATTTAGGCAAAATTCATTTTACAGGTAACAAATAATTCTCATTTATGAAAGAAGATACTCTGCAATGTTCTAAGAATCATTAATTCATAGAGTTTGAAGAGAACTTTGAGGCAATCTAGTTCAGTGATTCCCAGACCCTAGCAAGTTACCAGGATCAACTGAGGGCATTAGAAATTTTGGATTCTAGGTATAGATTTTCACTTCTCGTCTCTCAGAGATTATGATTCAATAGGATGAGTCTTAAAAAATCAATGCCGTTTCACAGCCTTCCAGTTGATGCTAACACATAGCCAGAGTTGGAGCCACTGATTTGGTCTAGGCCCCTACATCATGTAGAAATCCTTCTAATAGTTTTTTAAATAAGTAATTATTCTTATGTATTTGGAAATTTGAAATGAATCTTAGATTTTCAAATACACTCTGTTGTTAAAAGTTGTTGGACAGTTGTGTTAGATATATTTTTTTCCTCTTATGCTGAGCTGAAAAACCTACCTAGGTTTCCTAGAGCAGTGGTCCTCAACCTTTTTGGTACCAGGGTCTGGTTTCATGGAAGACAGTTTTTCCATGGACCAGGGGGATGGTTTCAGGATGATTCAAATGCAGTACATTTATTGTGCACTTTATTTCTATTATTATATTTCTATTATTACATTGTAATACATAATAAAATAATTATACAACTCACCATAATGTAGAATCAGTGGGAGCCCTGAGGTTGTTTTCCTGCAACTAGACAGTCCCATCTAGGGGTGATGGGAGACAGTGACACATCATCAGGTATTAGATTCTCATAAGGAACACACAAGCTAGTTCCCTCACATGTGCAGTTCACAGTAGGGTTTGCGCTCATATGATAATCTGATGCTGACAGGAGGCAGAGCTCAGGTGGTAATGCAAGCGATAGGGAGCAGCTGTAAATATAAACGAAGCTTCACTCGCTCGCCTACCACTCACCTTCTGCTGTACCGCCCAGTTCCTAACAGGCCACGGACTAAAGAACACTAAAATACCAGTTTTCTTTTAAGGCTTTCTAAAATCACAGTAGTCTTTTAGCAGTCACAGTGCAATGTTGGGCCCCTGTTCAGCTTCTAGCTGATTATCAGTATCGATCTTTTTTTTTTTTTTAACAAAAACAAGTGTTTTCAAGCCAAGTTTTTCCTATCCTATATTTCTTCTAATTAAGATATTTTGAACAGCTATGCATGACTATTGTTTAACATTTTTTGTCCTCTACTGATTTAGACACTTTGCTTCAATTCGTTTACAGTTAGCAATTGTTAATTGAGTTCCTACTATGTTCCAGGTAGTGTTCTAAGAATTGGAGATAATAATGGGAGCAAGAGGAGTAAATTCCTTGTTCATTGTGGTACTTAATTCCACCCTAGTGGGGACATCTATGGAAGCCATCACAGTCTTTGAGGCAGAGCCTAGTGGGGACATCTATGGAAGCCATCACAGTCTTTGAGGCA